GATCTCAGGGTCATGAGATTGAGACCCATATGCTTGTGGTGGGCATGGGAGCCTGCTTGGGATTCTCTCTCTCCCTCTCCCTCTGCCCCTCTGTCCCTAAGATTAATTAATTAATTTGCTTGCTGAAACTAGAAACCAAATAGAGTTGTATAGCAGTGGATCCAGGATATGCTGAGGCCCCACACCAAATCAGTTATCAGAATATCTGTGAGTGCACCCAGGCATGATTATTTTTAAAAAGCTCCTAGGTGATTTTAGTGTGCAGCCACAGATGAATGTCATTGACCCTAGACTATCAAATTATTTTTATTTCTTCCTCAAAAGGAAAAACATAAAAGTATTTAAACACAGTACTGTGTTGGTTAGGCTTCAGAAAATCAAGACAGAAATGTAACATTTAAATGTCTGATGGAAATGAAGCATACTTTCTAAAAGTTACAGCACATCATTGTCTCTAGGTGACCAAAAGAACTAGAAGAATCAGAAAATTTGGTGAGAGTTAATGTTGGTAAGGTTTAGCATAATTGATTTTGAACCAAGGAAGAACTTGGATTGCTTATATGGCAACAGAACTACTTCAAAGAGTTAGGGATCTAGATGTTAATATGGGCAGAGGTAAAATATTCAGTTGTATATACAAATAGTCTATCAACTGATTTTGATTATTGAGGAGTAGACCGAACCTGTGGTAGGCTTTCTATTGCCAATATTTGTTTAACTCTCATTATGAACTAAACACATTAGGGTATTTAAGAAGGTCCAAGTGTGCCATTAGCCTAGGGAACAGAAGAAAATGCAATCGCAGTTAGTTGCTCTTTGGGGGTCAACAAGCACACCTGTGTTCCATGCAAATGTCTTATTACAGTTTCCACTTCTCAATGTATATACTAAAATAGGAGATATATTGAGATAAATAAGATTTATATATTTCAGCTTCTTAGAAATTATCTTTAGCATTAATTCTTAGAATTGTCTGACTAGGAAAGTGGTATAGTGGAAACTGCAGGCAAATTATAGTTGTTTGAAGGTATGTATAAACAACTTATAGTTAATGAAGTCACAGAATATGTGAAAGGCAATCTGAATTTTTGTCCTGGGACATTATATGTAAAGTTCTCGGGTATTTTCAGTAACAAACATGCCAAAAGCATAGTCTAATTATCAGTCAGTAGAACTGGCTTTCACCTCAGATTCTTCAAGAAACAGCATTTTAAACCTTTTGACTCTGTATTTCCTTACCTGAGTTATGAGGATAAAGCTTGTCCTATTTGTGCTATAAGCATAAAATAGAAGGTATACCTATAAGTTATTATATTACTTCAAAACCTTTGGTTTCAGTATATAAATTTCTTCCCACCTTATATATGCAGATTATATTTATCTCTACCATGAAACCCAACCAGTGAAAATGACAGTTGAGTAGTAACTATATGCCAACAACTAAAGACATTTACCTCATTTAATTCTCAGAGCACACGTGGAGGGAAGTATATTTTGTAGATGGGGAAATTGGGGCTCAGCAAGAGTAAATGACTTGTTCAACTTGTTTACAATAAATTGTGAAACCCAGTTCACAATTTACTCTCATGTGAGAGCAGAGAGTAAATTGTAAACTGGGTTTAATCAAAGTCTATTGAACTCCAAAGCCCATGCAATTTCCAGTAAAACATGATGCTTTTCAGGACTAATCTGAATGTACAAAAGGCAAAATGGGCTAGGATGGTTGTTTTACCATCATGTGAATGTGACTAAGGACATGAATAAACTTAATCTATTTTTCTGTTACTTGGTTTTCCACCTATAGCAGTTCCTCAAATAACTGTCATCCCTACCCCCAAACATGCTAAGGGATTTTGAACTGAACTCTTTAGAGTCATTTACACTTATGGTTATGAGTTTATGTATATAATGAGGTAGAGCAATCATAGTGTTGAAATTCCTTTCCTTTTCAACTTTCCATGTGGAGAAAGTATTGTTATCCCTTGTTCCTCTAAGCATGACAGAGACAGCTTTTGTTATTCCCTAGCACTGTCCTTTGTCCACTCCTTTGCTTTCTCCTGTCCTGGTGAAAAAACGAAGAAGGCATGTAAAACTTAACTTCTTTTTTTTCCTTTTTCAGATGCTGGTCACAGGCAGAAGTGTCTGCATGGTTAAACTATGTGGTATGTACTTGTTTGATTTCTGCATTTATTGACATCATTATTAGAGTTGACCTTTTGTTTCAACTTTATCACTAAGTTCTTTATATATATCTTAATTCTTGCCTCAGTCATCAATTAAGGGGATGTATTTGTGGCAAGTATGGGGGAAAGGGAGTAAGAGATAACAACAAACCAATAGCACAATTGTATAATATTTTGGAATTCATAAAACATTTTCTCCATATATAACCTTATTTGCTTCTTACTCTAGGGTATTATATTAGTTTTACAGGGTAGGCAGCTGACACAACAGTTAAAAATTTTACTCAAGGTCACAAAGCTAGGGTCTGGCAAAGTCAGGACTTAAACTCAGGTCTTCCAACTCCTAGTCCAAGGTTTTTTCCACCGCACATTAACAAGTTGTTAAAGGGTATGCAACATTTTAGCCACTTACAGTAGAATGTGTTGGTTAGGAACACAGACATAGGCTTTGGAGTCAGGTAGCCCTAGGTTTCAATTCTTGCTACCACTTACTGGCAGCCTCATGAGAAGTTGCTTAATATCTCTGAGTCAATTTTCTCATATGTAAACTATGTATAATAATGAATTATATCTGCCTCTCAGAGTTTTTTGAGAAGATTAAAATAGCATGTGTATAATTCTGGGTACCCTGGTGTGACCACAAGAGCTGAATAAATAAGTCGTCATGAACAAGTCTACAGGCAATGATGAGACAGCAGATTGGCTGCTATAACTTCAGAGTGCTTCTCAGTCGCAGTTACTGTGGCAAGAATTTTTTCTTGTTATTTGAAATCTAGGTATAGTTCTTCCAGAAGGGGAAAATGAGTATAGACATAACTATAGCTCTGAATATTTAATAGAAAGGGAGGTGGCATTTAGAGTCAGTGAGTTTGTGAGAGGTTGAAAAAAGCATAGGAAAAATGGGTGGAAATTACTGTAGTAAAGATGACCATCATTAAAAAGCACGCACATCTTGCAGCAATACTGTATACTATAAAGTAGAATTTGGCCATAAACACAGGGTATAGCATTAGTCCCAGTCATTAGTCCTGGTACCATATTGGTCACTGGCATATCTCTATTGGTCTGAGATGAAATGACAAAAATACTGTAGTGATTTTTCATGAAGCTAAATTTATTCAGTTTAAACACTTGCTTTTTATTTTTGAAATACCATTGCAACTTTTTTTTTGGCTGTTAAATGTTTTTTTTTTCTTTTGGGAAGTAATAGTGGTAAATAGTTGATAGATTTTTTAAGGTCCCTGCTAGACAAAATAAAAAGTTGGCAAATATATATCAGTTCTTCTCCACTAATATTTATTTTGAAACAGTCTAGAAATCACTGAACAAATTAATCTTCAAGATTTTTTTACAGGTTTGGGAACGTAGACTCCTAGATATCAAAGGAATTTATCTATGAGGACCATTCAGTAACACCAGGAAGAACATTTCCAAGGAGATACATCTAGTTCACAATAATTCATAAGTTCTTGTCCCCTAGGAAATTACAATTTAAGACAGAACAGAGGTACAGGTGGTTGCCACTCAGCACATAGAAACTAAGGTAGAAACCAATCTAATATACAGATTAATAATGAGCTACTTACAGCATATAATTTAGGATTAGATGGGAAGTAAGACAAAAACCATGATATGGGGAAGGGAGGCTCTTTGGAAAGTGTAGCCCTGTGAAGATCTTTATCTACACTAGACCAAAGGACCAAACAATCAGGTCATCTTGGAGTCAACCAGGGCTATCTGGAACTCCTTAAATGTTATTGAATTGCTTTCTTTGCCTTGATGTCCTGAGGCTGTATATGACTAGAATTTCAATGGCTAAAGAAGACGGTTTTCATCAGGAATTTTTTTAAAAAATCACGGTTTTGTTGGTTTTGATTTTTGTACTACATACAGGTTCTGATGAGAACGTTAAATAGTGGTTAAAGTAACTAGGACACCAAACAATTATAGAATAGTTGGGTAAGTAAGCAAAAATCATGGATAAAGTTAATAATTAAGCAGTTTATCATTGATCCCAAGTTCATCCGGAGCCCCAAGAGTACATATTTTTGAAAGGTACGTTAATTATACACATCTAGTAGGTGAGTGATCTGTTTCGTTTATGTGGTTGTCCTCTGGTCCCAATGAATGTGGTTTCTAAAAGTACATTCACTTGTAAGCCAGGGTGTGTTTTGGCCCTTGGAAAATCTGACTCCTTGTTAAACATAAAGAATTGGTTTTAATTCTGATTATAGCAAACAAACTAATGGCTTCTGAATTTGTAAGATAAGTATTTCCTAAAGGAGTTGACCAGAAAATACTAATAACTGGGAAAACAAATTACTGAACAGAAATCTAAAACAAAGGTACTGTGACAAGTAAAAGTCATATTATTTTCTTATTTATTTCTTCCTGAAAGCAGTACATGATTTTAGTGTGTTGAGCATGATTTGATTTACCATTAATTTATTTCATAGACATTTATTGAGTGGCTGCTAAATGTCTGGGTCTTGAGATACAAAGATAAATAAAAATCTGCTCCAGGCCGTCACCATCTTAAGGAGGTACTCAGTACACATCTTAAAATTACAATAATTTTTACTGGAACTTACACCATACCATACACCCACACACAAGAAACACATACATATCTTAAAAAAAATTTTTTTTTAATATTTATTTTATTTTTGAGACAGAGAGAGACAGAGCATGATCAGGGGAGGGGCAGAGATAGACACAGAATCTGAAGTAGGCTCCAGGCTCTGAGCTGTCAACATAGAGCCAGACATGGGGCTTGAAGCCATCAACCGTGAGATCACAACCTGAGCCAAAGTCAGACACTCAACTGACTGAGCCACCAAGGCGCCCCAAAACCATACATATTTTAAAGGATTTAGTTGTGTTAGAAATTTTCAGGAACCAAAAGAAGCAGGTAGGCCTTAAGGGCCGAAGCCTACATGTAATAGTTCGGTGTAACATCTTGGTTTTTAAAATCATCTTTAAATAATATGCCTTGGATTTTCTTTCTCCTTTGGCCTTATTTTATCCTGGTCTACTTCTATGAGGTCTTCATGGCACTTCCCAGTTTAACCCAACCTAACCTCTGTATTTCTTTGTTGCTTGGTTTGAAAGAATCTCCTCAGGGAACCTCAGCTGAAGGTCATATATTCCAGCCCTTTTCAGATTCCTGAATCCTGTCTGGGGGGAAAGAAGGGGAGACAGGTTGCTATTTCAGTTTTTGTGGTCTCTGAGACTGCCATTTGCACATCCACATTTGGGGAATCTGCATTTTAGAATTTTGCCTGTTTGATGTCTGGAGGCCCTGGGATGCTAATGCATACCCATTGTGGGTAGAATAGTGATCTTCATCTACCAAGTAGAAGGCTCATTTTGTTCCAGAAAGAAGTTGAAAGTGGGGCCCAACCATGTCACTACAGCCAACTGGGCCTTTTCACCCTGTGCTTGGGTATGGGACCCGTGGCTCTGCCTGAGAGGTGTGGGTCAGGGTCTGTGAGCTAGGGCCGGTGGTGTACCATGAGGCTCCTGGCTGTTCTGGAGCATCCAGGGACTATGTCTGGTCGGACACTGACTGTGACTCCTGGCCGAGTTTGAAAACCCTGCTGTGTTACTCTGTTCCTTTCCCTCACCATAAAGTCGCACTTCCATGCAGGAGGGATGCTCGTGGTCGAGGGACTGGAGGGACTGGAAGGGCAAGTCTAAATGGGCTTGTGCATTTAGCCCAAGTGGCCAAGCCTTGGCTCAGATGGGCGAAGCCCCGCCCATAATATCCAAGCACGGACCAAGTGGCTTTGACTTGAACTAAGTCAGCGTATATTGAAGTCCCCAAGACACTTTCTCCTTGGCTGCAGTCAGAACGGAGCCATGCGCAGCCTGGGCCCTTTGCCCCTACCGGCGGATAAGCCCTTTGACCTGGTCGTTCTTTGTATTCCTTCTGGCCACTGTTTTTCCTAACGAGGTCAGAGGATGCTTCTGTGTGGCTGCCCAGCACGTCACAGAGGTCCATACTTGTGTCCATGAAGTGCACTCTGTGCTCTGGCAGGAATCACCATCGCTACCGCAGGACCCCCTTTGCAACTTAACCACTCTAGCTGTGGCTGCCTCAACCAAAAGGAAAGGGCCCAGCGCGGATGAAATGCTGTCCGGAGAAACAGGCGCACGGCGAGTGCGCAATCTTTACTCCAGCGCGCCCAGGGCTGGCGCTGGGGCTTTCCTGTCGGGATGGAAGCTAGAACCGCCCTCCCCAGAGCCTCCCTGGGAGGGAAGTAAAACCAAGACGTCCCGCCCCGTACCCAAAACGTTACAACCACACAGTTTCGATCTATCTCTCCGCTTCCTGACCCTAGAGGGTTAAATCAGGAGGGTACAACGCCACCCCTTCCTCCTACTTCCCGCCTCCCCCCTCCACCCCCTTACCTTTAAAAAGTTAAAAAATGTCTGCAGTTGAAATCTCTTAAAGGGGCGGTGCTGGTGAACGAGTACTCTTGGCACGAGTCGCTGAGAAGGCTGGCTAGGGGCGTGAGTTCGCTCCACCAGCACCAAAACACTGAAAAAAAAAAGAGAGAGAGAGAGAAAGAGAGCAAGAGAGGGGGGAAAAAAGGAAAGGAAAAAAAACGGGGGGGGGGAGGCAGACAGACACACACTTTAGATAAGGACAATTAGTCACCAGTGAGACCCTGTAGGAAGAGAGGTTTAAATCAGAGGGATTTAATGAGGGTGCTCTGTGCCTTCCCTGAAGCCATGCCCTCTAGCAACTCCCGCCCCCCCTCGTGCCTAGCCCCGGTGGCTCTCTTCTTGGCTCTGTTGCTCCATCTCTCCCTTTCCTCCCAAGCTGGAGACAGGAGACCCTTGCCTGTAGACAGAGCTCCAGGTTTGAAGGAAAAGACCCTGATTCTACTTGATGTGAGCACCAAGAACCCAGTCAGGACAGTCAATGAGAACTTCCTCTCTCTGCAGCTGGATCCGTCCATCATTCATGATGGCTGGCTCGATTTCTTAAGGTAAGGCAGGGGCTTCCATGGATCATTTTTTTTTTTTTTTTTAAGTAACACCCCCCATCCCCCATTCCAAAGGGGAAAGAAGAAGAAGAAAATAAGCCAAGCGCATCTCACAAAGAGAAGAAAAGAGGTTTTCCTTCTCCTGGAATATTTGCTGTGAGGCTTTAACTGGTGATTGAGAAAAGCAGTGTTTTCTATTAAGATGCACATGTTTGCAATGCAGAAGGCATTTCAGAAACTTATCAGTTATGACTGAAAAAATGTTGTGCTTACATATATCCACAATTAGCCTCCCTGTCTCCTTCTGAAAAAGAAACAAGAGGTTCAGGGCAGTTACAAAAGTGAAGAAAAGGTCTCGAGCAACAAAGACCCGAGAGGAATGGGTGCGTGTGTGTGCCTGTGTGTGTCTGTGAGTGTTCAAGCGGGGGATAGCACGAAAGTGGAATTTTCCACGAAAAGATCTATTTGTCCGTTCTCTCCCACTCCCAGACAGAAAACGAATTTAGGCAGAGGCTTGAGCGGTGGGCAAGTTAGATCGGATATTTTAAGTTTTCTTTTATATACTCCGCTGTCCTCTCCAGACTTCAGGACTTTGTAAGAGGCTTTTTTATAGACCGAATGGCCCCCCAGTCCCTCCTCCTTAAATCTCCTGCGGTAACTGCATAGTTTGGTTTTTCTTTAAAGAAAAAAAAAAATTCTCGCTCCAGTGATAGGGTATATAAGCAGAGCGGAAAGGGTCCTAGAAATACTCCGGGGATGTTTCAGAGGTCTGAACCTGGCACCAGCGGATTACCGAACCCCGTGGTTTGTACCATGGACTCCCCTCTTATTCAAGGGCTGGGAATCTAATTGGGCTCACTCTCTCCCTGGGTTGTTACTGTGTAGCAGTTAGACAACTAATCAGGGACAGTTGCAGTGCAAAAAATAAATAAATCGTCTGCAATGTCGAATCCAAGTGTTGAGTTATTAAAAATTCCCTCCGAATGGGAGTCTCAGCTGTGGTCTCTCCCGAAGAGCCCTGAGCGCTCTCCCAGTCCCATTTTTCTGCCGGGAGGCCGCGTCCGCCGCGCGTCTTTCGTGAGTATCTTTCACTCCTTTCGAAATCCGCTTTGGTGCTGGCGCGCTCTCGCCCTTCGGTTGTGCGGGACCGCCGGGGCCTCGGCCGGGTCAGCGGACGCGGCAGGTAGCGGGAGGCGCCACGTGGAGCACTCCTTCCACGTGGAACACTCTTTCCACGTGGAGCGAGCGTTGCAGGAGGATCAGCGGCTGGTGTTGCTGCCGCTGCGGTCGTTTGTTTATGCCCGTGCCTCCGCTGGGAAGGCGGGAATAGCTCCGCGCCGCCCGGCGTCCTCCTCGGGCCCTTGCAACGGAGCGCGTCTCTAAGCTCGTGTGTTGGTGGGGGGCGACGGGGTTTTCCGAAATACACGCCCCACCTGCACTGCACTAGTGCAGTGCGCGGACGCCCCCAGGCTTCTTTTTCCTACCTTCCTTTCTTTTTAAACCATCTTGTTAAATGCTTGCTGCAGAAAGGATTCTGGTAGGAAGCTTTTTGGGGAAGAAGCCGTGGCGGGGCGCATTTGCATTAGCTGTACAGGCTTCCGGACGGACGGTGGTTGGAAATGCCTTTTCCGCGGGGCCGCACCCGTGCCGAGGCCTCTGCCCGCCGCGGGCCCGCGCGACGCCCAGCCGGCGCCTTCCCCAGAACGCAGTCTTGGAGTCCTTCGCCAGACGTTCCCGGCCACCGGACTTCTCGGTGTGGCAGTGCGCGGGTTTCAGGAACTCTCCGAAATTGGAGTCCCCAGCTTTTTTCTCTCATACCCACCTCCGTTATGATCCTCTGTAATTTCTCCATTTGGATTTGGATTTTCAGAACCTGAGCCAGCAAAGCGTTAAAACTAACTTACAGATCCAGATTCAAATTCTTTGGTGCTAAGAGCACTTGCACTGCTCCTTCGTCACCCCTTCCTGAAGTAGCGGTTGGCTTTTAAAACTGCTTACTTATGGAAATCCTGAAGCTAAATAAACGTAAATGCTGGTGTTCTGATGCTCCTCGAGTGCCCTCAGACGAGCAGGTCCACATTTCGGCAAACTTCACTTTTCCAAGAGTTGGCTTCCAAAGGGCGCCACGAAAAAGATGGAGTTGAAGTAGAGTGGAGAGGAGGATGTTACCCCTCCTGAGAGCCGGCTGAATTATTTAAGGGGCCAAAGAGACATTGCTTTTACCGTGCAAAGCCTGGATGGGGAAAGTTCTCAGAAAAGCAGGGATTTACCCCGGCAGTCTCTCGCCCAGTGTTAGGGAGATGGATGCAGTTGTTACACGACAGTAGTAGTAAAGGAAGATCAACTTTAGCATTAAAAAAAGAACCACCCTGACCTCAGGTACCTGCTCTGAAAGAAAGGAGGCCTGTTTCACCTTCACCACTGAGGTTGCAGTGCCCCTGGGGCAGGGGATGCAGATTCCGGCTTCCAGCCTGTAAGTTTGGCAAAAGTCGGAGCTCTGCAGTCCACGCGCTGCGCGTCTCCGCCAGGAGCGCTTTCCCGGCAGTGGCAGAAGCTGGGCGACTGCGCCCAAGCCCCGTGTTCTCAGCAGAAGTGCCCCCCCCCCTCGGCCCCCCACACGCACTGCATTAACAAACAGACTAACCGACTGGGAAGAAGTACCTTTGGCGAGCGGCGTCGGGTTGTCTGAGGGAGGGGGCCGCGGCCGGCTGGGCGCAGGAGGCGTAGCCCGGGGAGCCAGGCGCACGCGAGACGCCGGGGCCCGCGCGGGTGGCGGGCTGGGGCTGACACGGCCCGTAGCCTCGGCCGGGTCGCTCTCGGAGAGTGGGGAGAGAGCCGTGGTCGGCGCTCCGCTCCGGGTCGCCTCTCCTCACCCCGGATCCTTTTCTCTCTCTTTCTGTACCCCTGCAGCTCCAAGCGTCTGGTGACCCTGGCTCGGGGACTTTCGCCCGCCTTCCTGCGCTTCGGGGGCAAAAGGACCGACTTCCTGCAGTTCCAGAACCTGAGGAACCCGGCGAAAAGCCGCGGGGGCCCCGGCCCGGATTACTATCTCAAAAACTATGAGGATGGTGAGAAACGACTTACTGCCAGTCTAGCGGGATGGGGGACGTTTGAGGAACAGGAGCGAACTCTTGCTGTGTATGGGGGGGGGGGGGGGAGGTGGGTGGGTAGCCGGCTTGGAGGAGAGCCTGGTAGAAGCTCCTCTGAGAAGCTGGTAGCTGCGGGCTAGGGGACACTGGCGTGTGGCGCTTCTGACGCGATTACGCAGAGGGGGTCACCAAATTGTCCTGGTCCAGGCTGCCGGCCTTTCGCTGGGCGGCTGCGCTCCAGGGCCGAGAAGCGGTGGCCAGAACAATTAGCAGGCTGGTCCTGTGGGGAGATTAGCGGGTTTTTTGAGAAGATTCAGACAAGTTCATAGGCTACTAAGGGATCAGGGTCACGTTTGATTCCTAAAACTAGAAAAAAGTGCCTTTCTGTTTTTTTTTTTTTTTTTCCTTATTTCTTGCTTTCCTGAGATGAGGATATGGGTGATTCAGCCTCTTTTGAAACCCACTCTAAAGTTTTGTGGATAATACCTTTTAGATTGGACCTTTGTTAGGGGATGTTTGAAAATCTGCACAGTGGGTTCTCCTTCAGACTGCCTAATGTCAGAGTCGCATTTTTTTTTTTTTCTGTTTTAAAATGAGATTGTGTGAATGCCAGCCTTCTTTCTTGCCAGGATCGAGTAGTTAAGTGTTGGAAGGGCTTTGAAAACTCCAAATCATATTACAGTGTGAGAGACCAATCTTTTCAGGTTTGAACAGTCTCATTTTTACCAGGAAGAAATGAAAATGGCATTTTAAAGTTTTGTTTAGAGGGTACAGTATTAATATATATGAACTTTCTTTGCGGAGAGGGGGACATAAGTCTTTCAAATAGTCAGGATGGGAATTGGTGGGTCCTCCGCTACTGAGGCTGTTTAGATTGTATAAAAGAGGTATTGGTGTCCATTCTTGGAGGGTTATCTCTTCTCTGCTGTCCTTTCTCCTAAGTGAGCCTCAGTTTTATTTTTAAAGGGCTCAAGGACAGGTTCTTAGAGCTCCCTGGATTTTGTTACATCTTGTCCTTGTAAATCAGCAAAACAAGGAAATGTCGTTGTATATTCTGGGGTTTCACTGAATGGGAATTCTGGAGAGATATATTTCAAGAGTGGCTGAGAAACTTTTTTTTTTTTTAAGTGTCAGAATGGAGAAAGAGCAAAGCTGAGTCTTCTTGAGTTTAAAGCAAGAATAGGACTTACTCATAACATTTGCCAAAGTGTATAGGAGTTTAAGGTGACATCTTTTCAAAGGTAAATGTCATTACCATAAAAATGTGGATTGCAATAGATTTTGCTGTCACTTAGCATAAAATGCTGAAAGGTAAAAGCTAATCCTGAACAGCAGCTCTGATGGTAACTTGACCCAGGGCCTTATAGCTTCCAGGGTCACTGTCAACTCTGTGCTCAGACATGAGAAGGGAGAATATTACTGGTTTTCCTGATGAAACAGCTCTGGTTTGAATCCGTGTGAACTACTTCTTTGGTTTGTGGAAAAATGTAGAAGAGCCCCAAGAACCACTGACCATTATAAATTATAGGAATTGGCCTTTTTCTCCCAAACATGTACCTAGGATTATATTACCAATTCATTGAGAACATGAGATCTGCTTAAAATGAAGGATACAATTTGTTTCCCTTTGTGAAAGGAGAAAGTGGGCATCATGGGGAGAAAGGAAATTGGCAGAAAGCCGTGCCCCATAAAACTTCATAGCATTTAGAAAAAATCAGAAATCGAAAAGATCTAAGAGGTCATCTTCAATCTTCCCACCATTTCAGGGGCCAGTACAGGATCATTCCATATGGAATCCTTTTCTTGTTTTGTCCAACCTGGTATTAAATATCTCTAGGAATGTAGTTTTTATCACACTTATGGGAAAGAGTTCTTCTGTCCCGTGGGTTTTTGCCAGCATATTTATCCTGAAATTTTTTTTCAAATACAGTATTCTCTAAATATTTATGACTATTTCTTTTTCTTTCTTTCTTCTTTTTTTTTTTTTTCTTTTTTTGCATTTTTAAGACCTCTGTCTTCAAACTAATTTGTCTTTGGTGTGAGTGTCAGCTTCAAAAAAAAAAAAAAAAAGGTTTCCTGATAGCTGTTTTTTATCTAGACTACCTGGATTTAATTCCTTTAAAACTTTCTTTAAAGTCAGTACTTCCAGACGCTAATCTGTTTTATTGCTCCTAGCTGAACTCCTTTTGATTTATGTCTCTCCAGTAATAAGATGCTCTGAACTATGTCAGTATTTGAGACCTTAGCAGAGTTAAAGAGAGTAGGAGTGCCCTATTTCTGCCCTTTGATGCTCAGATATCCTTAAATCACCCATATCGTCTTTGTTGTTGCATGTTGCATTACAGAATTGAAGGCAAAAATGTTTTCGGTAGAGTCTTAGTAGTTTTGCAAACATTATACTTTAGTTGTCACTCTTTATCCAGTGATAATTATCTCATCATGAACATCTTAAAAATAATTAGGTCTTCTTAGCAAAAGGCCCTGTAATAGGCACTTGGGCATCAGCACCTTATTAAAAAAAAGATGTATTGACTTAAACATGATACAGAGTAATGACATACATTTTGAGTAATAAGATACCCTACTGGCAAATTATGAAATTGAATGCTATAGTTAAGAGAATATGGAATTTGGATTTAGAAAGCCTATATTGCAGGCCTCACTCTATCACTTTTGATGGTGTGGCCCTGGGCTTGCTGCTTCTCTGTAGCATATGGATGATGATAATACCTGCTGTGCATTGCTTCTGTGAGGCTTTTAAGAAGTAATGTGTGTAAAATATTTTGTCAGTTACAAAGCACTATATAAAGACTAAGGATCTTACTTTTATTAAGGGCAATTTCAGAATATTTATAACATTTAATATTTTAAGGTGGGATTAAGGAGTGAATAAGATGTGATGAGACAGAAATTTATACAGAAGAAAGGAGATAGAATTGGGGAATTGGTAAAAAGGATTAAGTGAATGTAGGGAGAATTGTTTTTAAGGGACCCAGGTAGAGAACAGGGTGGCTTACTTTTTTTATGGTAATGAGACAAGAGACTAATCTTTAGTTTTGTTATATGCTAAGAGTAAAATGAACCAATAGTACTTGGGTAAAATACACTTTTATAGTTAATGTATTCATATAACCACCTTGCTGTGATTTTCCAAATACTTTTAAGCACTTTAATGCCACTGCATTTTCTCTAACTTTCTAAAACTATTGTTTACGTATCACTTTGGGATGGTCTCTGGTTACTCTTTTAATACAGTTATCTACTCTATGCTTAGGCAGCTTGAATTTCATACAAACATGGTGATGATGGAAGAAATAAAAATAGGATTGTTTTTTTATACCTTGGAATCTTACCTTTTTCCTTACCTTTCGTACACACCATTTATTATGCACATCAAAAGCCAGCTTAATATCTAAAATATCATACATATTATATCACTATTCTCAGAATTTCTGATTATTTTTGGATTGCTTTCAGAAAATGTTCAAACTCCTCAACTTTACATTCAGAGCCTTTCACATTTCAAGTTCAGCTTACATTTTGGATCCTGTGTTTTCATATACTTTTTCTTACAGTCCTTGATTTTCATGGTCTCCTTAAAGCACCCTCATTATTTCAACCCTATACCTTTTTTCAGCCAGATATCTCTGCTTCAAATGCCTTTCTCTTGGCTCTGTTCAAGTCTCACCCCCTACCCAATTCCTGAAGGCCCATTGCAAATGCCCCTTATTTTCACAAGGCCTTTCCTGAGCATGTCATTGTGTAGTGATCTCTTCTTTCTGTGGACCATTGTAGCTTTTACTCTTTATGTTGTTCTTTTTGGCTCCTTCTGCCTTGTTTTGCTCTTTAACTTTATGTATATGAAAAGTTTTCCTTTCCATTAAATGCTTTACCTTTTCAATTAGAATACACATCTTTATACGAAGGGACCATATCTAATTATTGTGTATTCTGAAATGTCTAGCATTATATAGAGCTTCGGCAAATATTTTTGGATATATATTGGGTTAAGAGCACTGTTAAAGCCCTAGGAAGATGGAGGTGATTAATGAAGAAATGAGTGAATTAGTATATGAAGATTCTATTCCTTTTTTACTTTCAATGCACAATCTTATAAGTCCATTCTTAATGCTTATTTTAATGACATTCTTCATTATTTTAACCATGTACTCTTAAGTAGTCTAAGTCATCTTGGTTTCATGCTATGCATTAAATCAACCTTACCACCTGGTTTAAAGCTTTGCACTGGACCTATACTGTTTTTATATTGTATCTGTTTCTTCTTTGCCTTGACTTTTGCTTTTCCTTGTTTGCGTCTTATATAGTTTTATGCCTGATTTTCCAATTCCTGATTTAATAGTTCTTTTTCACAAACTTTGAAAGTTGTTTTTTTTAATCTCCCTCATCTTGAAGATTTTCTCTTCAGAGACCTTCTCAAATTCTAAATGATGAATGTGAGTGCACTTTATACACTCTAAGGCACTATATGACTATTATTATTGTTCGTCTTTCTCCTGAAAGTTTTCCCAGTTTTAGAGGTGAGGTCGTTAATTCTTTTTCTTTCTATTTCCTTTCCATCAATCAAGACATAAGACCTAAGAATAGCACAACTGCCAAAATACATATTTGCTTTGAACTTCCCTACCTTTTACCATCTCATTGTATTTCACAGAAAGGTTTCTTGAAATTCAATTACATTTAACAGGTATTTATTAATTATCTACTCTGTTTAGTTTCATGCTGGGCAAAGAATGGCAGAATATTGAGATAGTGTCCCAAATCACCATTAGAACACAACAGTAATAATTGCTATAGGCAAGATCTACTAATCAGTGTTAAAATAAGTAGGTGAGACCTTAACATAAAACTGGATATTTGCATAACTTCAAAGCATGTCTCCCATAATATTTATTAATGAGTTGTTGTGGTGGTTTTAGTTTGTGTCCACAAAATCTTCTTTGTCTAGGAGGTAGAACGTA